AAGCCGTGCTGAGGAGCAAAACGACAGGTGGGGACCAGAAACGCCTTTTGGTACAAGAAACACCCCTGGGACGTGTCTTTAAGGCTCTCGGGTGAAAGTGAAACTTAAACTGTCTCTCAGACTGAAGAAGTCTCTTGGAAGAGAGACGAAACGTTTCATTAAAGAACCCGTCCAGAGGACCTATACAATTTTTTTTCCTTTACTGAGAAAAATGTTGACGTCTTCAAGACTTATTTTACCCGCTGTAAGTAAAAATATTTATCCAAGTATAGTACTACCCCCCGACTTTATGAATGATTTTATGGATTAAATTTTCCGTTTTATACTTGAATAAATACGGTAAGTACATTTTACGTCAGAAATTTACTTTTGATACTTAAGTACAAAATAAATAAATCAGATACTTTAAGACTTTTACTCAAGTAATATTCTTAGAGGAGACGTTAACTTTTACCAAAGTAAAAAAAAAATATGATAAGATACTTGTACTTTTACTCAAGTATCACTTTGTGGTACTTTATACAACACTAAACAAAACAAAACAGAAACATCTTCATCTTGTATGCTTTGCAAAAGGATTGTAATGATAGCAAGGTGACTTATTTCACAGTTAGTATACTGTCTTGTAGAGACAAGTGAAGACATAACTTAAGTAAATGAGTCCTACTAGACTTTTTCTTTACAGCAGGATGTCATATCTTGAATATTGCACTGTCTCTCTTCTAGTCACCTGTTATAACAACATAGCTATGTGAAGTCGAGCCAACAGTTTTTCCAAAATAACATAAAATATTGTTGGTCTAAAATATTGCACATTTGACCAGATAAGATTTATTATTTTGTACTTTGTGCCTAATGGCAATGATATTTCAGTTTGACATTTTCTTCTTACTTGTTACGTCATCATAGCAGGCTGTGTGGAACTTTCCCATGTAGAACTCCAGGCCAATGATGGCGAACATGAGGATAGCCACAAACAACAGCAGGCCAATCTGCAGTAGGGGGATCATGGCCTTCATAATAGACTTGAGCACCACCTGCAGGCCTGAATAACAAGGCAAAATGTGCAGAAAAGCAGCTTAGAATAGAGTCAGACTTTTGTAGTAAGGCAAGCTATTAGCTGGTTTCTTACTATGCAAGATACAGTATAAGACTGCTGATTGCTGACTAATGCAAAACAATAGTGAGGCTTTTAGAGATTAAAATAGCAATTTAACCAAGTCAAAATCAGCAGAGGACCATAAAGAAAAAAAATCTTTCAATCTATGCACATAAGATACCCCAAAACAACCATCTATCCATCCTTACTTGGGATTCCAGACACCAGTTTGAGTGGTCGCAACACCCTCACAGCTCGAAGTGTCCTCAAATCAAGCTGAGACCCCACAGATGATAAAATCCTGCACAGAGAGAAGAATAAATGAAGAAATAAACTTCCACAGGACTCATACTTTTGCCAGTATGCTGCTTTTATCTTGCCAAAACCAAATCACTAAATACCTCCATTTTTATGAAGCTTAAATTTTCATTTTTGTATTTAAAAGTTTAGTAGAGGTCTTTAAGATTTTACGTAAAGTATTTCTAGTTGCAGTTGGTAATATTTGGAATGCCTTTTTTTAAAATACATTTTACTCAATAAAGAAATTGCTTCTACGTTGCTACATTCTATCTTATCTTTGCGTCTTCAATGGAGTTTTTGGATGCTTGTAAGGCTTTGATGTAAAGGCGACCAAAAAAAAATTGGAAATGTCAATGCTCAGAGGCAACATGGATGTTTATCCTATATGTCTGACATAAGGAAAAACAACAATTTAAAGACAAGAATATTAGGTCCCTAAAAAAAAACGACCTTATGGTAGATATTGCATTCTGAAAAATTTCAGCAAAAATCTTCTCTCATCATTTATTAAATTATAACTCAATAGTAGCTTCTTATCCAGATATCAAAAATTAGAGAGAAAAAAAATCCAAGCAAAAAATGTCTTCTCCTTTTTATTGGTGGGTTAACACAATTAAAATCTTGTTTAATAATGAGTCTTTTCTTTAGATTGAAACCATTTTCTTAGCAGCAAGGAAAATAAATCAATATGAACCTCAATTATTAAAGTATTACTGATTATTGTTTATGTAACTTAATTTCTTTATAGGTTTAATTGTAATATCTACAAATATTTTTCATGTATTTCAGCAATATATTCCATCAGTGTCTTTCTACTACTGGTCTCCTTTTAGGCAAATTGGCAAAAATTGAAAAAAATATAGATCTTGCAAATCACCTTTTCTTCAGTATCAGTAATAAGTAACACAAATGAGAGCATTTATCAGTGTGAAACTCAGTCTCACAACAACTGTAATAGTCTTGCATCCAAAAAGCAGTTATTGTTCAGCAATCACTGTATCAGGAAAGGTGGAAGCACACATTTAGTCAGGAGGAAAATATATTTTAATGTAATTTAAAACTTGGTTTTAGTTTCAAATGGTTATAGTGAGTGGGGATGGATAAAAAACCCATGTGAGCAGGGGTCTCGTAAGTGGGTCCATTGCTTTCCCCATATGGACACAGAGCTTTATTCAAACCTCTGTGTCCGTCGGAAGAAGGACACAAGGTTAGAAACACTGTTCTAAGCTTCTCTGGATCCGTAAAGGGGTCCTTAAGAATTAGTTTCCTTTGAGAACCAAACAGTGACCTAAGTAGTACAAAGAGGTCTACAGATCAATGCCACAGGGATCATACAGATCCTTGTCATGGAGTCCCATCATCGTTTTGTAGTGGTTGAGCAGATTGTGCCCATTTAGGACTCCAGCTAGTGTACTTAACCTTTTTTTTATCAGGGCAATGAGAGCTTTCCCAATGCTGAAATTTGGGCAATTTATCAGTTCCCATGCCTGTCTAAAGTCTGTCAGCTCCCACCAGTGGATTGAGAGTTGAAGTCTAATCCAGGCCTGTAGGACAGTCCTATAGACTGTTGTTGAGATACCTACAACAGGCTCTGGTCCTTTGAAGTGGACCTGACTGCTACCTTTTACAAAGAATTCAGCTCTCTCATTATCATTATGCCAGTATGTCCTGGTACCCATTTAACAGTAACACTGCTACAGTATCTCTCTCCAATTGGCTGACTGCTTCAGCAGACTCTCATGGACTTTGGAGAGCTTTAATAACAGCTTGACTATCTGTTAGTATGAATATTTCCTTCTGTGTACACTGAGGGTCTTTGAGAAATGTCACACACTGGATTGCATAAATCTTGGCTTGGGTTAAACCTTTATAGTGTTTGCAGGACTGTACATAGTGTTTCACACTGGTTTTGCTTGGTTGGGATCTGTATCTTCACAATTTATATCTTAATGCCCTGCAGAGGCGGACTGGCCATTGGGAGTACCGAGATTTTTTCCGGTGGATCGGCACATCACTGGGCCGGCGCACGCACCGGGGGGGGGGTAGTTGCGCTCAATATCATTAGATGGCGATAATGTGCCAATTCATTGTTTACCAACCACAAAGACCAAAGAAAAAGAAAAGTTTGATGAAGAAGAGGAAAAAGAAGAAGAACCGTACGGGAGAACAAAAACTGAGAAAAGCATCTACAAGCAAATTCAGCCAAGTGTTAGAAACTATATATATATATATATATATATATGTGTGTGTGTGTGTGTGTGTGTGTGTGTGTGTGTGTATATGTATATAGTATTTATTCATTTCATTTTAAAAAACAAAACAAAACATTACATACAACAAAACAATACAAATACAATAAAATGAAAGGCATCAGAAGAAGAAAAAGATTCAAATTGGGTAGTTTCTGTCCTCTGAGGCCCCTTTCGGATGCAGGGTTCCTCAAGGCTCAATATTGGGCCCATTCTGTTCTGTTTTCTATTTATTTGCTTCCTCTAGGGTCCATTTTTAGGAAATACAATATGATGTATCTTTTCATTTTTATGCAGGTGACATTCAGATCTATTTTCCTTTGAGATCTGATGGAGCTCAGAGGACTGAGAACTGCAGAACTGTCTAAAGGATGTTAAATCCTGGATGGAGCTAAACTTTCTTCGTTTAAATGAAGATAAAACAGAGGTCCTGAGATTTGAAATATCAGACCTACTGGCAGGATTAAACAGTGCTGTTGGCGCTTTGGACTCAGAATGTGATTTTATTAGGAATCTTGGGGTGATTTTGGACAACAATTTTAAATTTGACAGACAGGTCAGTGCAGTGGTCAGATCCAGTTTTTATCATTTTACTTTCCACTGACCTTCTTTAGTTATTAAACTATCTCAACTTTTAAACTTGTGTTTTAATTTTTTAATCATATTTCAGTGAATCATTTTCGCTTGTACCCTCCCCTTCTGCCACACAACCCCAAACCTTCAGGATGCAGTTGTCCCAGGCAACAGTTATGCCGGTACACAGTGAGTTTGTTGGCCAGTAGATGGAGCAGCAAGTGTGCTGACATTGGTGGGTAAAAACATGGATGAAAAAGAGATGCTAGAGAATTGTCCAAATGGCCAAGGGAACAAGTACCGGCACATGTGAGGAAAAAAAATTGTAAAAGGAAAGGAAATGAGAGGAAGAAAACAACTAAGAAGAGCTGAGTAAAGAAGGGTGTGTTTTAAACAAATGATGAAAAAATATGTAATGACTTGTCATTATAATTTATGAATTATATAATAAAAAAATCTGAAATAGATGACATTCAGTGGTAAGCATGCCTACATTAACATGCTGAAATTTAAAATAAAAAAATATCATTTTTAGCTTGGCTACAGATAAAAAAAAATTGCTCTTTTTTTCTTTAAATATCATTTACAGTTTCAGTACGGTCAAAATTTAATGTCAGCTAGATCCAAATACAGTGAAACAAACAGAAAAAAAAACATTGTTTTAGGGCACACAGTGTTTGTGAGTTTATGCAAGTTAGTTTGCTTTGCCATAATTTCTGAAAAGGTCCATCTTTTGATCCAGCACAGATACACCAAAACCAGAGTACTGAAAAAATAAAGAATTTTGTTTAAATGAAAATAAAGTTTCTGAGTAAAGAGAAAATGCAAACACAGCAGAAAATATTAGTTGTTTTTAAAACATCGGTTGGAATGTACTGGGCTGTAGACCTGCATTTTAAAATGTTACACCCTATCAAGTAAGAGCATGTACAATGCCTGTTATCACAGTCACTAAATAAATGGCTGTGACTCACCCTAAATGTATACTCTGAGCAGTGAATGATCACACATCATCTGTTTTTAACTTTACCATTGATTACTGAACTCTGCCTGTTAACAAAATATGTCCTGCATTACTGGACAAATGTTAATATCAACTTTCAGAATCTACTGTAGTCATTTGATGTAGGCACATCAACATCTGATTACCTTTTTGAATTGATCTTTTTTCTTTTGCAGTTTATTTAGTGTTTTATCCTTGTTTTAATTCCCACTGCATTTTCTCATTTTTTTTCTTTTGGCTGTATTTTAACATAAAAGAACATATTTAGAGTTATTCAAATTCCTTTTCATAACCAGGATTATACAAACACAAGTGATCATATAGAAGCTCTATTAAACAACCCTTGAGAACATCTAATGAAATACAGACTGTGAGGAAAGAGAGACAACATCCCCCATAGGAGACAAAAAGCGAGAAAAAAAGAGTGAAAATTTTAAAAGAAGTGATGGTCCTGTGAGTTGAAAGTGTTAGATTTAACTACTGAGGCAGGGAGACGTTAAAACTCAATGGAGAAAGAGAAACTGAGACACAGACTCCAGAGATGAAGAAAAGGAGAGTTTTCTCTGCAGTGGGAGAAAATGTTTGGATGGTGATGACAGAGGAGCTCACTGCTGGGAAACACCTTACAATAAACCTATAAAGCAACACAAACACAGTTTAAGCTGTGCTGTAATGTCTCATCAGTGTGTTAACCTCTTAGAAATTCTACCAAACTTCTCAACTCAATGGTGTATCGTTCGCAAAAGGTAAACTGCGTTTCCATTACAAATGTGTGCAAAACTTTGTCGATATTTTGGTAATAAAAAAAAACAGTTTCGCAACCGCGGTGTTTCCATTAAATAAGAAATGCTATTAAAGTCACGCGTGAATTAGGGTTGGGCAATATTGGCAAAAAAATTAATCACGATTAATTGTGGTATTTAGCCAATAACTATTAATTTGACGATTAATCCCCTGGAGTCCCAGGACATCCTTACGTCCTAGTCACATGACCAATTTAGTGGGAAAATTTTGCTCTTTATAAAAATCTGTTCCTAATTGTGTCAAAATTACAGACATCAGGCCATACATCAAATTTTAAATTGTGTTGATAGGTAAATAAATTACAGATTTTTTTTTTTTTAAATTTTGGTCATATTTGAAGCGGAGAGGAGCACTGAGCGACCTGACCGGAGT